TCTAATTTTAATTGTAAATTTTTTAGATGTTAAAAATAGTTCAGAGTTCAATACCAAACAAGTTTTTAGATATTAAATTTAGTATTTAAAAAGGGAGCTTATTTTTCCACTCTCATTTTCTCCACTTACACTCCCTTTTGCTTTTTAATTAATTTTGTACTTTCTCTTTCCTATTCTATCCTTATCCTACATTAATTTCTTTTTACTTTACTTTTATATTATTTCTTTTTCTTTATATTTATTTTTTCAACTTGCACTCCATTTTCTTTTTCTTTGTACTTATATATATATATATATATATTTAATCCCTTTTTAAACTTCTCACAATCCCAAAACCCCTAGCAACTACCTAGGTCACTAAGGCTTGCCGAAGCCTAGCTTTGGAGCCCAGCTCCAAATGCCTTATCAAAGCTCTATTACGGCCCAGCTACACCACCTTTTTGCCAACAGCTTTTTGCCAAAGCCCTAGAGGCCTAGCACCTGAAAATACTACCTCAAGCCCATCTTGGGCCTAGCCCCACAACCTTTCCTAACTCTTGTTCTCTAAAATCCCATGCCCAGCTCAAAGAATATGTGTTGCCCAGGCTCAAATTCTTTTACTCCATACCCAAAAAAAAAAAAAGAAAAAAAAAAGAAAAAAAAAAGGGAGCTTGGAAAACTTGCCGAACAGCAAAGGACAAGGAACAATAATAGAAAATTTGAAGCCCACTTAGTTCTCCTTCAAGCTTTAGCCCACCTTTTTGGACCCATGTCCCTACCTCTTAAAAACCATCACTTGGTTACCACTCAGCAAGACCCGAGTCATAAGCACTGAGGCCCACAGATTTTCTTACTGAAGCTTCAAAAACTCAAGTCTACTTTTCTTTTAAAGGTACCCAGCTATCAACAAACACTGAGGCTAACACAGCTTTTATCATACCTTCCAAGTGTTAACGCAACTTCTAGCTTGACAACTTCGGGGACTAGGGACTGCCCTACGGCTCCCACTAAGCCTGGAATGCTCGGTCATGATCACGCAAAATCTTACAAGTTCCTAACCCAGAAGTCACTTCTTGACCGCGAACTTGGGGACTACTGTTTACACCATAATCAACCGAGCATGTCCAGTCTCAAAACAACTAGCACCAAGGCAGACACGCCTTCTCTCCTGCCAAAGGAAAACCCTCTTTCGAGGTGCCAAGCCCCTGCCGAAACTCCCAACTGCTAAAGCTCACAAACTGCTAAACCTAATTCTCATGACATGTGTCACCACCGCGGCGACTTGCACAAAGTCCCACATCGGAAATCTACACCAATCTCCCACTTTCACTTCCCTATAAAAAGGGAACAGTGCCCTAGTAAGAGGGGTAACTACTTCTCTACCTTTTACTATTACTCTGCAAAAGTTACCCTTCTTAGCTGACTTAAGCATCGGAGAGCCTTCGGCCGGCACCACACCGGTGTCCGAAACTTAACGACTGCTTCTCCCATTTTTGTCTTCTGCAGGCTAGCATTTATTGAAGGTCCAGACCCTTTCCCTGCTGAAGGCAAATCCCTTATATTTTCTCTAAGTTGACCCTCTCCGAAAAAGAGCATCAACAAAGTTAATAAAAAGTTGAATTAAACATTAGAAAAAAGAAAAGAAGGGCATAGTAAGGAGGGGAGGTGGGGAGGAGCTGCACAATGATTGTAGAAGTGGGAGCAACCCAACAACCCTGTCAATCTCTACCCCCCGCGACTTTTCTCACCAACACCCAAAGGCCCCAACTCTCCCACCCAAACTTACCTTCCCAACTCCAATCCAGCCACCTCTAATATGTATAATAAAAGCCCCTGCAGTCTTACCACTCTACAATGGTCCTTCCCACTTCTCCACCCACTTTGCAGCTTCACCTTTTCTCGACTAGACTACGCCTTTCTTTTCAAGTTTTTATTTTCTTTTTTTCTAGTGATATATTTTAGTTCAATGGAATTTTTAATGTATTTTTAAATTAATTCAACTTTTTATTGACATGAAAAAAAATTATCATGTTCATTTAGCAGCAATTTTAATGGAATGGACCAAATTGACTAACGATCTTAAATACAGGGATCAAATTGGCCAAATTGAAAACACATAGACTAAATTGGCCAACATGATAACACATAGAACATTTTGACATTTAAAAGAAATAATATAAAGGTATAAAGGTGAAGTAAAAAGAAACTAATGTATGGCAAGAGTAGAATAGGAAAAAGAAAGAACAAAAAAAGAAAAAGATTGATTAAAAAGCAAAAGAGAGTGTAAGTGGAGAAAAGGAGAGTGAGAAAATCAACTCCCTTTAAAAACTCTTATTTTTAAAATAAATTATAATTTTTGAGTTTAATATTTAGAATAAAATACTAAACAGACCCTTATGTTTCTAGACATGGAGGATATCATCCTTTGGATCGAGTTGGTTATGAATGATTGTTTAATGTGCATGCAGCTTATGTAAACACTACCATTCGAATCTAAAAAAATATTCTATCATTGGTTTTTTTTTTTAAATTATAAATAAATAAATAAATAACCTAAGCTTTAAAGGGTCCATAGGTAATCAAACAATGTTTTTATTTTTTATTTTTTTATTTTTAGGACCTTTCCTATTGAAAAGGGCGATAGCATATTAAACTTACACACATAATACGGATGTTAGGACTCAAACCCAGGACCTTGCCTGAGAGAGTAAATACTCCAAATCACTACACTAGTGGGTCCTTTGCAGTAATCAAACAATGTTAATAAATGAGATCAAAGTCGAGCATAAGTATTTTTTTTTTTTTGACAACAAAAAAAAAAAGTAATATCTTTTCCTTTTCCATTCATTTTTTTTTTCTTAATACAAATGATAATTTACTCTAAAGAAATCTAATCTACATAAAGGAGAATTTGCCTTTGAATATAAAGATACGGGCGCTGTGTTGTGGCCAACTTGCCTAGCTTACGTCTTCTTACTCATCTGTTTTTCAAAGAAACAACAAACACCTGCCCAGATGGTACCGACCTGGGCCAACTGTTGCTAGTAAACAGAAAACTGGATATACAAAGCCGAAGCCCACCAAGGGGGATGGTCGCTGTGGTCCATAACAAAACCCATTTAAGACCCAAACGGTTTTCTGGAGTCTGGTTCGATTTTCGGCCTCAACTACCAGGAGAGGAGAGGTCGATAAAGAAATCAAGAAAAATCAAAACTTTGGTAAGAAAGATCGTTTTTTTCCTCTCAATGAATGTTCTTCTTTTAACAATTTTCAATCTTTCTCTTCTTTTGGTTTCAATTTTAAGTTTTTGTTTGCTTTTTCAAATTTAATTGTTAGCCTTTTGATTCAACTGGTTTGGCGTATGTAGGAGTTGAGCTCGCATGCCATGTGTTTGATAGAATGTCCGAATGTGTGTACAGTACAGGAAGTATATACTGACAAGATTGAATTGGTTGTCGTGTTTGTTAGGTCAAGCTTTGAAGTTTGAAGGTGGCACTTTTTTGTGGAGTTTATGATGAGACGGCAGGGGCAGTATGGTGATTCAGGAGTGAACACATATACTGCTGCTGCTCCGATGCATCATATGTCTGGCCAGAGGATGGAGCACAAATCTAGTCATTTTGAAGGACGATTGGAAGCCTTCACTCCAGAGAGGGACAATCCATATGCATCTTCAAAATCAGAGGGCCAATGGAGATGGGAAAGAGATGGATCAAAAGGGTCAAATCCAATGGCATCTCATATGTACAATGAAGGCAAGTGTTGCTGTCAACTCTCTCTCATATACGTATATGCTGAGTCTGGGTTTGTTGTCATATGAATTGCTAAATCTGAAGTTCTTGTTTAATTTTTATTTTTAATTTTAGTTTATGGTATAAGTCAAGTAAAACTTAAATTCTAAATGAATAATCAGATATTTTCTTATTTCTAGTTTGTTAAAGGCTAAAAAATTCGGGCAAAGTGATTATTATAATAATTAGTCCGTCATTCAAGTCCCTAAACCAATGTAATTATCAAGAGTGTTGAGGACTTTCAGAACTCTATAAAAGATGTTGGTTGTACGCATTTGATTTTATTTCCTAGCACAAATCTTAATAACTTTAGCTACTCCTCTCACTCGTCTCACAAAATTGATGGAGTCGTACACCTGTAAAAGACACTCTGGGGCTCAATCTAGGAAAGTAGAAGCATCGTAGCAGGGTTTTAATAAAGGAATTCAGTCATTCCTGTTGTGAAGAAATCATGTCGTATTTGTACATTTCTTACCTTCTCCTAGCAGGACGTGAAGTATAACTCATACTTGTACCATAATTGTCATGAATCCTGAGTTTGTAATGAAAAAAATGAAAGAAATCTCTTATTTTTGGTCCTTTTTTCCTTGCTGGACTTAGTTCCAGAACTAATTAGAGATAGTTGGACTTAGTTCCAGAACTAATTAGAGATAGTTATTGACTTTCCTTTACTGGATAGTCTTGGGTCTCAAAGCTGTTCACTTGGGGCTAAACAAACTCTGTTGGCCTACCCAGCATCCTATACCGTTAGGATCTTATTGATATTGCCACGTCAATTTTTTTCTTTTTTCGTGTTCGTGCCAGTAGCACTCGTCAACTTTAGACTGGCCTGCTTTTGCACCCCTATACTTGTTCTACTGTTCTCTACTTCTGATTGGGGGAGAGGGGAAATTTAATTCAACTCCTTTCCGTATGCTGACAGTTGGCACCGATAGCCAAACAACTCAGAGTCTGACAGTTTATGCCGTGGACTCTTGTAATAACGAGGCATAAGTCTTAATTTCTTGAGGAGGACTGTTCATTCAAGGATCTAGATGAGTTCAGAAATTAGTCAGCATCTCTCCGTTTGCCACCTTCATGGTGAATACGGAAGTACGGTGCTTCGTTGCCAAGAATTCCCATTGTACTAAGGTATGAACAACTCGCACGGCTTTGTAAGCTAGGGATAGGTCCGGCGGCATATGCTTAACCTTGAGGAGGGCTGGTCCTGACAGAGTGGATATACATGACACTGGTGAGTGTTCTCTTCTCCTTCCAATGCCATTTTATTCTGGCAAGTGATAATTATGCTCCACAAGATCCACTTTCCCACTGATTATTGAACATCTTGAAGTTTGGGGTTGAAACTCTTTTGGATTTGGATGTAGTTAGTGAGAGATGATTGGTTGATCCTTTAGGCATCCTGCATAGGCAGTTATTCTCGAATCGAAGGGGAGACGGAGATGGAGATGCCGGAGACGAATGTGAGGCCTCAACGATAAGCTAAGTATACCTTTGTATCCTCTCAAATGTTACTCCATTCTCTTCTTAGGTTTTGCTCTTCCCTGTAGCTCGCCACCCATTCAACGGGTTCCTTTTGCTTCTCCAATCTTGCCCAGAGCAATTTGTTCTCACGTGATGCTCCTAGGGTAGGGTGATTGGTTGTGGCCAAATAAACTCCTTTTCCAGTTGGCCTCCAATAGCTGGTATTGCCGCATTACTTTGCCTAATTTTTAATATTCGTGCCAGCAGAAATTGTCCACATGTTAGCTTTACCCAGGCTTAATTTCACATTCTGACATGTACACCCCCATCCTCGCGTTCAGCAAGATTGAAACGTAGCTATTTTTTGTTTAATTCCTGGGCTGTATCATTTGTCTTTTAAGATCTGCTGTGTTTTCTTTAGCCAAATCTTCAACCAAGCATGATCTGGTATTGGCCGTTTTGCCAATAAAGTTTATCTGTAATAATATACATAAGAGCTAAATGTTGTCACGATAGGAGCATAGAGTGCATGTTATGTTGATCTCATTTTATTTACATTACTATGTAGATGTGAAATTGTTTGATGTTATATTTGGGTTAGCGGTGTACTTGTTATGGTTGACATTTTTATATTATTCTACAAGCTTGAGAGGCATATGACTATGGAAAAATTATTCATTCATTGTCAATGGTAGTTGAGGTAAATCCCTAAATATTAACAGATACCAGGCCCTCTATATGTACTCATGAGGGTAACAAGGGAGAAAGTGATAGAGGGTCCCATTAGGGTACATCCATATGTTCAACAAACAAAAGAAGTTGAGTTTTATTAGTGGGACATAGTTGAGTTAGAAACCTTTGTCATCTTTCCAGGACATTTTGCAATTTTTATGCGGACAAAACCGTTATTGCTACTAACAAAACATTTTAGCTTGCTGCTGTAGTCCTTCCGTGTGATCCCCATCTTTTGTTACCTTTTTTTTCTTTTGGCACTGTCATATTTTTGTTATAACATTCCTATGATTTTGTTGTCACTAGCAAAGGTTATGATATAGAAGTGCTCACCTGAGCGGGCCATTGGAATCCAACGGCTGTGTTGGATTAGTCGCTCAGGTGAGGGCCTCTAGGTTATGACATGCCTTAAGTTATTTTCTTGTTGAAATTTTGAAATGTGTATGCTTAGGGTCGCATGCTTGTTTTGCAGGTCAAGGGGGTGATACATCAAGATCCTATTTCCAGGGTCAAAGGCCTGATCCAAAACTTGCTATGGAGAAACAAAACAATAATGATTCCCGATCTCAATCCCATAATGAAGATATGGACCTTGGGTATGAGGACAAGCCTTCCTCGCAGACTTTTGAAGAACTTGAGCAGAAATTCCTTGACGACATTAGGAAACTAACCAAGGAACAGAACGATGCTGAGGATGCAGAAAATGCTAGACACAAAGAGGTTAGTTTATATTTGAAAATGTATTTTCTTCTTTTATATTTATGCTTGTTATTCTGTTGGATTCCCAATTTTCTTATGGGCTAAGTGGATTCTTTGGGGCTTTGTGGTCATATGAATTACACTTGTGCCTCACCTCTTTCTTTTTGTTTTCTGAAAACAAAGAATAGTATTAATTTATCAGAAAAGTAGAAGTGCATTTTCTCTTAGATAGCCTTTCCTTTATGCTTGACTTGTAAGCTCATTGTGAACAGCCAGATATGCATAATGAAGTAGAACCCAAAATCTACAATAAAATACTTTTTTCGCAATACACATTTAGGGCTCGTTTGGGAGTGTTTATGCAGAACTGATTTTTTTCTCATTAGTGATTTTAGCATAGTCAGTTTATGCTAGTAGCGCTTTTACAGAGCATCAGTTTTTGTTTGGCTACCAACATAAAAGTGTTTTTATACTGTACATAAGTGCTTTTGATGTTATTGATAGCGTTTGGCTACCTAAAGAAAAAAGTGCTTTTACTTTTTCTTTTTCTCTTTGTCAATTTTCATCATGGAACGTAATAAAACTGAATAACACCTTAAATCATATGTAAAATAGTACAAGGAAAGTGTGAAAAGAAATAAACAAAAGGGAAATGAAAGCATTATTTCAGTTCAAAAAAGAAAAGGGGCGGCAGCATGAGGAGGGATAATAGTACCGCTAATACTAACAGCAGGGGTAGCTAGCAAAACTAGTAGCAATGGCTACTTAAACGTAGAGGTGGGGATCTAAAAATGACTTGGCTGCACAGAAGCCATATGCAAACATAAGGCAAAGGTGGGGGTCTAAGACTAAGGTGTTTGTTCTGGTATGAATGTAATTTTTTTTTCAATCCAAATAAAGCTGCAAGAGCAGCACAGACTGTAAATTAGAAAGTTAGAAACAGAAAACTCTGCAAACAGACTCAAAAAAAGGAAAAAAAAAAAAAACAACTACAAGAGAGAATATAGCAATAACTTCCTCTACTGCATAGCCAAAGAGATTGCAGAAAAGAGAGAACTCTGCAAAACACAATAGAGGACAACAGGCCTCAGGCGCCATGGTGCTATTGGCAGCCCTGAGTGGCTTGGCAGTTGAAGGGTCATTTGTATGCTTGATGGGGTTCAGTTTCTTGGCATCAGTGACACTACTGGTTGTAAGCTCACGGCTTCTGTTGATTTTCAGCCCTCTGCTGCTTGGTTTGTGTTTCTGGGAGCATAGCTATTTGGGCATTTAGTAAAAATAATAAGGATAATATGGGAATTTTAAAAGTTTCATTAAAGCCCCCAAGTGATTCCCGTGTTTTACAAAAAGTCACTTCTAAGGAGAAGTACCTCCCATGTGCTTCTCCATTAAATCACTTGAAGTATACGCATTTAAAGCACTTTTTTTCCCAAACACTTCTTAAACAAGAGTGATTCTATCCCTTTGGAAGTGATTTTGGCCCTCCCATAATCACTCCCAAACAGGCTCCAAATTTAGGTTTCTTTTTCTTTAGTTTGCTTAAATTAACTAAAAGGTTCCCTGTTTCACATTTTCTTTTTCTCTTGCGTTCTGTTCTCTTTTTCTCACATCCCATCTATAATTGGGGATGGGGATTTGTTTCATGTTTCTTTTTTTGTAAATAATTTAAGATGTTCATTTGTCTTCCACCTTACGCATTAGTGATTCATCTGTTTCTCAGAAAATTGGTGCAATAAATGCTCAGTATGAAGAACAACTAGCAGCACTTCGGGCGCGGCATGCAAGTCGTAGAGACGAATTGCTTCGTAGGGAATCAAATGCCCGACAGCATCAGTACCAGCAATCAGTAATGGATTGTTACCCTAACAGCAGCATGGGCCCCTCTGAACTTCGTGGGTACAGTGGAGTTGCAGCCTCAGCTGCTGGTGGCGAAGGGCACCGAGCCTATAATACTGATCAATATGAGTCCTACAGAGAGCGGGCTCGATTTCTTGGAGGTTCTCGTGATCATGGGTTTGAGCCTAGAGGTCCATATCCAGGAGGCCGAGTTTATGATACCGGCGCGCGCTATTACTAAGTTAGCATTGTTTGTTAACCTTGCTAGTTTTTCTTCACCAGGTTTATGTTGGTTAGGCACCTTATTATAGTAAACATATTACTGTCATTTGTGTTTTAATGATAAATTATGCAGTGTGCTTTGGTGTATTGCTTCTGGTTAATTAGTATAAAATCTTACATGTTTTAATAAGTGCATAATGAATGTCGCCATTGACGTGCTAGTTCTAGGACATCTCTTGTGTGCTCTTAACGCTCCTGGCACCTGCATCGCGCTCCCTTGGAGTTTTGGAGGAGCACTTATTCTCCTCGTATGTGCATGAAAGTTATGCAAAGAAATAATCATCACTTAGTCTAGTTTGGGGCTTTTAATGGTAGAGCATTCATCCTCGTATGTGCATGAAAAGAGTCCCAGAAAGAAACCAATTGCCTTCCCTTCGCATAACGACACATTTACTTACATGGAAGGAGTATTGGAATGATTTCGATTCTAATTTTCCCCTGGTGTTTATTAACGCATGAGTAGTGCAAAAAATTTCATGTGTTTACTAACCGCATACAAAATTAAGAAGTATGTAAGTTCTACATAACAATATGAAATCCAATAGTTGATAGATCAATAATTATATATATACTGGGACGCTGGCTACCGCGATGCGGAGATTGAATGCCACTCTAGTGCTGCTGTAACTCTCTCATCTTCTCCTACTGTTCCAACTCAACCTCTCTACAGCATCATTTCCTGTTGTAAAATGAAGATCCATGAATCATGGTGTTGTGCAATTAAGCATATCTACCGTTAACAAAATGTAGCTGTTGATGCTTTGGCTACCAGAAGTTATAATTTTGGCCTTGGTCTCCATGTCTATGATGAGGTTCCTGACTTCCTTGAAGACATTCTTGCTTCGGATGTTAGGTGCGCTGTGAGGCCACATTCTTTTGTTTTGTAGTTTGTTTGGTTTGGGCTTTTAGCCCCCCCCCCCCCGCGCAAAAAAAAAGGGCCTACTCAATTAATCTAATTTATAGGGAGGTGGATTTGAACTTGGGTGCAAGTAGGCTTATAAAAATGAGCCCAACTCGTTGTTTATAAATTGTAAATTTAGGATAATACAATGACTAATTTAGCTAAATTATTTTCTCAGTGGCCAAATTAAAATTTTGTGCTACCAAACAAGTATTTAACCCTTAGATTTATTATCATAATTAACTTACATTATATCTTTGTTTATTTTTTAAACATTAGAGGGAATCGAATCATTAACTTATCCTAATCCTAACCCACCATTCCACCCTCTCTCACCACTTGAGCTAACCCCAAAGACTTTATATATTAGTTTCTTTGGTTGCATGTATTCTTTTTAATTTGTTGTAAGCCCAATCATATCTTCTAATTTTGAATGTATTCAAATTTACAAAATACATTTTATATGCTATATATATTTGTGGGTGATTAAATTGTCCTATCTGTTATTACTCCTAACAATAATAATAATTGTTATTTGCACCCCAATTCAATATTTTGTTATTTTAAAATTGATTAGTTATTTGAGTATCATCATAATATTTTTAAATTTATTTATATTCGTTTATTTACTCAATTATAATTAAATATCTATTTGATTGTCGGTTTAATTAATTTTTAGTATGGATAACCTTTAACCTTTTTTTTTTATAGCCAAAGTTAAGAAGGGGATGGGTGGGAGAAACAAATATTAGGGTCCATGTTTATGTTTTTGTCTATAAATAAATTTCAGTTATTGATCAATTAAAAAAAAAAAAACACTTGGTACTTAGGCCATCTCCAGTCATAGGGCTAAATGTAGTTTAGGGCTAAAAATTTAGCCTTCCAAAACATTAATTTTTTAAAGAATAGTACAGGGCTAAATTTTTCCATCTCCAACCATGCAGGACTATATTTTAAGGTTCTTCATATTTTATTATTTTGAGAAAAACTATGGTACAACACTCATACATTCCACAACTATGTATTGTTTAATTTAATTAAAGGGAGTTTCACTAATATACCCAAAATAGGGGCTGAAATTATAAAAAAAACCCCACATGAAAAACACTTTATAAACACACCCAAAACCCATTTATTAAATAACAAATTAGTGTTGAAGTTCCAATAAATTACAGCACTACTATCAAGCCCAACAGAAAAAAAAAACTCAAAAAACACCCAAACCTAGCCCAATTTTTATATTAAAAAAAAGCCCAAAATATGGAATGCACTTTAGAAACACACCAAAAATCCATTTACTACATAATAAATGAGTGTTGATGTTCCTATAAATTACATATCTGCCATTGATTAACTTAAAACAAGCCCAATATAAAAGACACACAAAAAAACCCAAAACAAGCCCAGCAAGCCTGAAATATATTGTTAATATCATATCATAGAAGTACATTGATAATACCATGTCATAGAAGTATATTGTTAATACCATCTCATACAAAAAACTCAAAAAACCCAAAAAAAGGCCTAACAAGACATCTGATATCCTTTATAGAAATCACCTCGAATTGTTCACAGTTTCACCAGAAATAATCGTAAAGGCAAAAGGAAATACCTTTACAAGAAGGAAAAAAAAAACACTGTTAATACTATGTTATAACACTATCTTCTTATGCATATCATAAACTTCAATTGCATAGCTATATATAGAGCAAAATATAAAGCATGCTTTGTTACTGAAAATCTGTTAATACTATGCCATAAAAGTACACTGTTAATATTATGTTATAGAAGTTCACTATTAATACTATGTCATAGAAATCATCTGAGTTGCAGAGTATGAACAGTATAACAACTGTTTATACCACTTACTGGATGTCAACAACAACGTCATTTCATTTGCATAATAGGTACGATAAAGAATCCAAATAGTACCAAACATCAAAACCAAGTTAACACTAAATAGTGTTTTACACATTAAAATCACAAAGAATCTATATCACTGAGAATCTAAATCCAATAATAGTAATTATCATTTTTCTTGTCTTTTATTCAATTTTCTCAGTAACCAAACATTAGATAGCATACACAAATAGAGCTAACAAGTCAACAACAATGAAAAAAACAAGCATAATGAATTCTAAATCTCTAATTCCAAATATTATATCATTCTAAAATAGAAAATGCAATATAGCAATGACTCATGTTGACTAATTAAATATTTTTCGCCAAAAACTCATTCCAAAATTCTAACTACCACCAACTCTAGCATCATCGGCGCTCCAAAGAATGAAGAATCAAATTGAATCACCATATCACCATTGCCAAAATCACAATTCAATCATACACTAAGCAAACACTGTTAGTACTATGTAAGAGAAATCAACTCAATTGCAGGGTATGAACAGTAAAACAATTGTTCATACCACTTACTAGAAGTTAACAAATGTTCATACCACTTATAGATAACAAATTATATACTGCAAATCAACTTACCAGTCAAGGTATTGTTGTTTTTGTCAAGGATGAAGAGCTCTGGCTGACCATCGAGCTTGCTCTTGTCAATTATACTCTCAAATCTAATCTTGTCAAGAGCCTACAAATAGAGCATGACATAATGAGCCAAAGGAAATTCAATTCAAACAAAAACATTATTGAAAAAACGTATTCTGTACATAGCTTTTCCACATCAATTCAGCAAGAGACAAGAACACTAAAGACTTTTTATAAAGAAATTTGAAAAGCATGCAAATAAACCTTCTAAGGAAATACCTGATAATTAATTATTTTAAATTCTGAGAATATTTAAAAATTAGAATAGAAAACACTCAATTTTAGGGTGAGCCAAACACGGAATCTGAAGGCCATGATTTTCTATGAAAGGCTTGCCTTAGTGAATAGAAGATCTGGGTTGAAAACATATAAACCATAGTATTTCGTTGAAAGAACTGATAGTGAATTATATATCTACTAAACTGAAATCCTAAATCTAAACGCTAGACATCGAAAAACTACATATCCAGAACAAAGCAGAACCCACCACACTTCAAGAACTTGTAAACTTGGTCACCGCCTTAGTCCCTTAAGACACCGCGTGCTTAGCGAGCTCACTAGGAAGCACAAGCCTCACAGCAGTCTGGATCTCCCGAGAAGTAATGGTCGGCTTCTTGTTGTACCTTGCAAGCCTGGAAGACTCCTGGGCGAGCTTCTAAAAGATGTCGTTGATGAAGCTGTTCATGATGCCCATGGCCTTGCTGGAGATCCCAATATCAGGGTGAACTTGCTTCAGCACCTTGAAGATATAGATCTTGTAGGTCTCTATGCTATTCTTCGATCTCTTCTTCTTCTTATCTCCGGCGGTGGCTCCGGCCTCCTTGGGGAGCTTCTTGCCGGCATTCGGCTTCTTCTCGGCCGGGGCTTTCTCAGCCATAGTCGACTTCTTCTCCTCCACTGGCTTCTTCTCGGCGGGCTTCTTCTCAGCTTTGGGAGCCATTGGAGTTGTGAGAGAAAAGTTAGGGTTTGAGAATTTGGGAGTTTTCGAAACGAAAGGGATGCGATTCGATTAGAGAGAACAAGAGATTAAGTTGAGAATCAAAGTGGTGGGATGGATTGTTTATATAGATGAAAGTAGGATCTGCTACGTAACGGAGATTGTCGTCGGTCTTGTGTTGGTCCATGGCTTTGAGACTGTTTGGTTTACTTTGAAGGCATAGAGAGGGAAGAATGGCGAGAATAGAGGAGAGATGGTGGTTTGAAGCAGGAGAGGGGCTTGAGGCTTCAAACCTGAGGTTGTCAAATATGAGGGAAGCTTCAAACGAGATCCAAAACTAATTTAACGCTAAAAAGAGTGTTGAGGCCCAAAAAATCCACGCTTCGGCCCAAATAAATTATCGGTCCAATGCGATACCTTATCAAGAAGAAACTCGATTTAGGCAAGCGAAAGTTCGTCATAAACGCTTTGCACACATGCCACGCCAAGCAAATAAGCAACATGCCACGCTACAAGCTTAAGTGGGCCCAAGCCAGACAAGATGCCTGGGGCTTTCTTGAGTGGGTTGTGGTATGGATGGTAATAACTTGTCATGAGGCCCATTGATGGGTCGAGAAATGAAGGTTCCGGGTTGCTTGGGAGCCTCGGAACCCAAGCCCATTTCGCTAAAAAGAGTGTTGAGGCCCAAAAAATCCACGC